AGCCCTTTCTACTTCAATCTCTTGCTACCCTCTACCCCCGTACTATCCCCTGCCCCGCTGTTTTCTGTAACCTACTGATCATCCCTCCTCCCTTCTGCCATCCAATACCCTCGCTTCCTTCCCTACCCTGCAGCGCTGTATAGCCCTTGTGGCTTAGTGCTTCTTTTTGATTATAATAATTAATAATGAGCAAGACACAGAATTTTGGTAGATTTAAACCTGATGTCCTGACACCAAATGACTTCGAAAAGGCTATAAATGACATGCCCATGCACTCTTCCCCAGGCCCAGACTTGTGGAATTCTATGTTCATCAAGAACTGCAAGAAACCTGCATCATGTACTTTTAACATCCTATGGAGAGGGAGCATGGACACAGAGGTCGTCCCACATCTGCTAAAAAGAAAACAGACATAGCCCCACTCCACAAAGGGGGCAGTAAAGCAATAGCAAAGAACTACAGACTGATAGTGCTAACATCCCTTATCACGAGAATCTTTGAAAAGGTTCTAAGAAGCTAGATTGCCTCTCATCTAGATACCCATCAGTTACACAACCCAGGGCAACATGGGTTTAGAGCAGGTCACTTGTGGAGAACTGGATAGATAAGTACACTTAACTGCATGAAGCAACATATGGCAATCGGTACTTATCTGTTAACAGCACAATGTCCAGCAGCCTCTCCCTGGCAATCCCTTTGGGGTGCCTTTCCAGAACCCACCGTGGCCGTAGATTAATCTTGCCCAGTTGTCCTTAGGCTAGTATAGACAGTTTGACCTGTCAATATTTAGACTCGTTCAATTTTGAAGCTAATGTATTTTAAACTGAATATTTTATTTATAAACACAGTTTCTCCTCACTTAGCGAGATACTCATTTACCGATGCCTTGGACGTACAACGGGCTCTGACCTGTATTTATGCCTAAGTGTATACAGGTCTCCCTCAACATTCATGAGGGTTAGGGGATCAATAGCCTTGTGAATGTTGAAAAATCGCGAATGTTTGGTGCAAAACACTCCCCACACCACCAGTGTGGTGAGTGTTTTGTTCATTATTTGCTGTTAAACTACAGTATATATAATGTAAACCCATTCACGACTTCATGTTGGAATGGCTTTTCGGACAGGTATTCGACGGTGGCTTCATGTGTTTACTCTTGAACACAGCAAAGAATCAAACATTTCTGCTACTGCTAATAATAACAATAGTAGTAGTAGTAGTAATAATAATAATAATTATAATAATAAATATGATAGAATTGAAGAAGGAAATTGTACAAGAATAGGAGGGAGTGGTTGACACATCGTCTGTGTGGCTTTGTTTATGTTGGAGTGAGCATTAGTCTCCCTGCTCTTCCAAACATTTCACAATAATTCATTGTTTGGTGCTTGTAGATTGAGTGCGACTGGAGTGGTAGAGGCAGTGGTATTTAATAACGTTATAAATAATAATAATACATATTAATAACTATTATATTATTATTATATGTTATATATTATTATTATATTATGTTATATATTGTTATATTATGTTATATTATTATATTATGTTATACATTATTATTATATTATGTTATATATTGTTATATTATGTTCTATATTATTATTATATTATGTTATATATTGTTATATTATGTTATATATTGTTATATTATGTTATATATTGTTATGTTATATATTATTATTATATTATATATATATTGTTATATTATGTTATATATTATATTATGTTATATATTATTATTATATTATGTTATATATTGTTATATTATGTTATATATTATTGTTATATTATGTTATATATTATTATTATATTATGTTATATATTATTATTATATTATGTTATATATTGTTATATTATATATTATTATTATATTATGTTATATAATATTATATTATGTTATATATTATTATTGTTATATATTATTGTTATATATTATTGTTATATTATGTTAATATTGTTATATTGTTATATATTATTGTTATATATTATTGTTTATATTATGTTAATATTGTTATATTGTTATATATTATATTTATTATATTTTTATATTATATTATATTATTATTATATTATATTATTATTATATTATATTTATTATATTATTATTATTATTATATTATTTATATTATATTATTATTATGTTATATTATTATATTGTTATATTATTATATTATCATTATATTAATATTATATTATTATATTATTATATTAATATATTATTATTATATTTTATTATTTTTTTTTTATTATCACACTGGCCGATTCCCACCAAGGCAGGGTGGCCCGAAAAAGAAAAACTTTCACCATCATTCACTCCATCACTGTCTTGCCAGAAGGGTGCTTTACACTACAGTTTTTAAACTGCAACATTAACACCCCTCCTTCAGAGTGCAGGCACTGTACTTCCCATCTCCAGGACTCAAGTCCGGCCTGCCGGTTTCCCTGAATCCCTTCATAAATGTTACTTTGCTCACACTCAACAGCACGTCAAGTATTAAAAACCATTTGTCTCCATTCACTCCTATCAAACACGCTCGTGCATTCTGCTGGAAGTCCAAGCCCCTCGCACACAAAAACCTCCTTTACCCCCTCCCTCCCAACCTTTCCTAGGCCGATCCCTACCCTGCCTTCCTTCCACTACAGACTGATACACTCTTGAAGTCATTCTGTTTCGCTCCATTCTCTCTACATGTCCGAACCACCTCAACAACCCTTCCTCAGCCCTCTGGACAACAGTTTTGGTAATCCGCACCTCCTCCTAACTTCCAAAACTACGAATTCTCTGCGTTATATTCACACCACACATTGCCCTCAGACATGACATCTCCACTGCCTCCAGCCTTCTCCTCGCTGCAACATTCATCACCCATGCTCCACACCCATATAAGAGCGTTGGTAAAACTATACTCTCATACATTCCCCTCTTTGCCTCCAAGGACAAAGTTCTTTGTCTCCACAGACTCCTAAGTGCACCACTCACTCTTTTTCCCTCATCAATTCTATGATTCACCTCATCTTTCATAGACCCATCCGCTGACACGTCCACTCCCAAATATCTGAATACATTCACCTCCTCCATACTCTCTCCCTCCAATCTGATATTCAATCTTTCATCACCTAATCTTTTTGTTATCCTCATAACCTTACTCTTTCCTGTATTCACCTTTAATTTTCTTCTTTTGCACACCCTACCAAATTCATCCACCAACCTCTGCAACTTCTCTTCAGAATCTCCCAAGAGCACAGTGTCATCAACAAAGAGCAGCTGTGACAACTCCCACTTTGTGTGATTCTTTATCTTTTAACTCCACGCCTCTTGCCAAGACCCTCGCATTTACTTCTCTTACAACCCCATCTATAAATATATTAAACAACCACGGTGACATCACACATCCTTGTCTAAGGCCTACTTTTACTGGGAAAAAATTTCCCTCTTTCCTACATACTCTAACTTGAGCCTCACTATCCTCGTAAAAACTCTTCACTGCTTTCAGTAACCTACCTCCTACACCATACACTTGCAACATCTGCCACATTGCCCCCCTATCCACCCTGTCATACACCTTTTCCAAATCCATAAATGCCACAAAGACCTCTTTAGCCTTATCTAAATACTGTTCACTTATATGTTTCACTGTAAACACCTGTAAACAACAGTATTTTATTATATTATATTATTATTATTTTATATTATATATATATTAATATATTAGTATTATATTATATCATTATTATATTATATATCATTATTATATTATATATATATTATTATATATTATTATATATATTAAATACCACTGCCTCAACCGCTGCCTCACCCACTGCCTCAACCGCTGCCTCACCCACTGCCTCAACCGCTGCCTCACCCACTGCCTCAACCGCTGCCTCACCCACTGCCTCAACCGCTGCCTCACCCACTGCCTCAACCGCTGCCTCTACCACTCCAGTCGCACTCAATCTACAAGCGCCAAACAATGAATTATTGTGAAATGTTTGGAAGAGCACAGAGACTAATGCTCACTCCAGCATAAACAAAGCCACACAGACGATGTGTCAACCACTCCCTCCTATTTTTGTACAATTTCTTTCTTCAATTCTATCGTATTTATTATTATTGTTATTGTTAGTTATTGTTAGTTATTATTATTATTATTACTATTATTATTACTATTATTATTGTTATTAGCAGTAGCAGAAATGTTTGATTCTTTGCTGTGTTCAAGATTAAACACATGATGCCACCGTCCAATACCTGTCCAAATAGCCATTCCAATATGCAGTCATGACTGGGTTTACATAATTTATACTGTAGTTTAATTGCAAATTATGAACAAACAAAACACTCGCCACACTGGTGGGAGGGCTGGCTTCCAGTTGCGGGGGTCGGGAGGGAGGGTAGTAGGGACTCACAGGTGGTGGGAAACTTAAATATGATTTGGAGGCTGGGAATTTGGCGGTTGGGATTCGCGAATGTGTGAAGCCCGCGAAAATTGAAAACGCGAATGTTGAGGGAGACCTGTATTAGATCTGATTTCCATTATTTTGTTTATATCAATGTACAGTACACTACTGTATAAACAATTAAAACATACCAGAAATGGTGCGAAGGTGATATTAAAACAATATCAAAGATGGTTGTCACAAACCCATTACCATCATAGTATGCCCCCTCGCTTAGTGGTGAATTCGTTTAATGGCGTGGTCTTAGGAACGGAACTCCATCGTTAAGCGAGGAGAGGCTTTATTCAGATATGTACTGTTATAGCTAATCTACATAGCTATTCTACCCAATTTCCTGTTGACTGAGGAGTAATTTATTCCCCTGTATGTGGCTTTCAGCATGCATGTCCTTATTTCAGATTGAACAAGACCTTGGTATTACATTAATTTTTTAGAGCTTGCACATGCAAGAAATTAATGTCTATTGGCTAAAGATGCATGTTAAATCCTAGACTGTCTAATGCTAAAATTTCTTAATTTGCTCATTGTTACAACAGGTTGCTTTCACAACACGCATCTACCACCCAAATATTAACAGCAATGGTTCCATATGTTTGGATATTCTCAGGAGCCAATGGAGTCCAGCCTTAACTATTTCTAAAGGTATGTATGTACAGGACCACAGTTATGATGTGCTGCACTGTCTTCAATGTTAATTTCATTAATTTGTGAAAGTTCATCTCCAATTGGATTGTTATGGTGATAGGATGAGAGGTAGTGCTTTACCACCCATTACTCCATTTTTTCTAATTACCATAGACTGTCTTTTAACATGGTAGTTACGTTTCTGTAAGCAGTTTTAGTGAAAACCATGTTAGAAGAACTTGTGGGGGAAAATAGGGTTAGTTCTGGGAGCCCCCTAAAAGCCAAACAACTTTGTTAGACCAACAGATCTTACAAAAATAAATGAGTATGTAATTGTAGGTCATTGTGATATATTACTGCTCAAGACTTCAGGTGCATTAGAAATAATAGTATTTCCTACGTTAAATTGTGGGTAATGGTGTTTGTAGATGATTGTGAAGAGTGGATATGAATGGTGTGGCCTTACTGGGCTGAGGTGGATGGTTGTTGGTTGTCAGCAGAAGTGGATGGTAGAGGTTCTGGTACTAAAGTCGATGGTTGTATTGGAGTGTGCATAAATTCTGTAATGGATCTCTGGGCTCTTTTACCCTGCAGTACATTATACAGCTGATGGTAAGGCATCATCAGCTAGTCTGGACCCTGTTTCAGAGCACTGCTTCTAGGTTAGTTAGGGTCCTCTTCAGTGAAAGTCTGCTAGTTTAGCAGCAACATGGAACTGCTCGCATAACTGCTGCAATGTTAAGGGGGTGACGAACGTTTTGGATTGTTTTTTTCCTTTTGTATAATGTCAGTGAAATTTTTACTCTGAATTAAACAGCATTTGAAACTGTGTTTTTAGTGACTTTTCATTAAAGTTAGAAAAATATATTGTGCTCTATTCTCTAGGGCTTCAACTTTTCCACTACTACAAAATTGGTAAGACGTAAAATGTTCTAGTCGACACGAGATGAAAAATAAAGGCCTAAATAATATTACATGACAATTTCTTGAAAATGTTAGTAGATTGCATTAAAAAAAAGTTGAAGTTAGTGTTTTTTTTTTCTTGGAGGGGGGATCAATAAAAACAAAATGGCAAGGTATATCGCAGTTCCTTTGTGTATTTCTGCAGAACCATCACTCCTCGGTAAGCTGTCCAAAAATCATGGCATTCTGTCCAGTAGTTATCGATAATTGTGGCTACAAACATCAATAACTTGTTCCTGAGATAAACCTTTTATTTTACTTTTTTTGTGCGTGTGAAACTCCATTGTCGCCACGTGCCAAATCTCAGCGACCGACACGCACCACCTCTGATCAGCGACCCTCAGGCCACTGGGGTTCTAGCGGTGTGTGGTGATCCGTAGTTGATTCAGAAGGTGCCAACTAGTATATTTGGATAGAAGCAATCGTAAAAATTGTAATTTTTTGGAGTAAAAACACACACACACACACACACACACACCACACACACACACACACACACACACACACACACACACACACACACACACACACACACACACACACACACACACACACACACACACACACACACACACACACACGTGAAGCAGTATCGCTAAATAGTGCTCCCAGGATTTAGCGTTTTAGTGGCTGTCCTAAGATATTATTAGCGGTCATCGTACGTGAGTGAATCAGTGAACATACCTACAAGAGTGTAATAGCTTTCAAGAGTGCGAATAATGTGATAGGATCAAGAATTTTACAATTTAAATTTGAATGAAATTTGAGTGAGGGAGCTGATCAGGCTACTGGCCGCAGTGTTGACACAAAATATCCAAACAGTTAATTGGGTTAACGGTGTGATCTGAAATATTAACAAATACATATGTTGGTTGATTATAGCAGCAGTGTAGTGATAAGGTCATAAAAGAGTGATTAAGTAAATACTGAAAGTAAGAAAAAATTAGTCAATCCCCAGCTGTTGGTGTTGTGAAGGTAGCTAACATCATCAGACTTGTTATGACCATAATACTGTACTAAAGAAAAAAGAGGGAATACCAAGTATTAAAAGAAAAATAAAATAAAAACTTGAATGTATGATAAAGTTCCTGAAGGAGTTACAAATTGAAGGAGTTGATAGCAGCCGACCAGCAGGAACCTCCAGTGTTGTGCAGACGACATCACTTGCCTATTTGTGGTTAATTTTGGTTAGTGTCTAAAGTCTCAGTGTCTCGCCCTGCTGGTTGTATGCTATACCACTCTCTCTCCCTATTCAGTACCAGGAGATAGATAGTGGTTAGTAAATTATCTAAATATCGCCAGGTAAACTCCAGAAGTTGTGTAGCTAGTGAAACCCCCCCCCGTTTTTCTGAGGGACAAGCTAGTAAAACAAGTACGCACATACAAACACACGTGTGCACCCGTAATTATTGTTATAATAAACAGTATATATTAATAAGGAATTGAGTGAGAAAAAATAATCCTATAATCTTCAAAAAGTAAAGTAGCGTAGTGTGCGGAGATCTGGGCCGGGAGAGTACCGGTGAACCAACAACAATAACAAAGTGTTAACGTAACCCCCCCCCCCTCTTTTTCAAAGAACAAGCTAGTAAACACACACACACACAAACACAAGTGTACGCAATTAATATTATATAGTATATATTAGTGCATATTAATAAGGAATTGATTGGGAAAATTTTTTTTTATAATCTTCAAAAGAGTAGCGTAGCCTAGTGTGCGCACGCACACCCACACACCCACACACACCCACCCACACACACCCACCCACCCCACCCACCCACCCCCCCACAACACCCCCCACACACCCCACCCACCCACCCCCACACACCCCCACACACCCCCACCCACCCACCCACACACACCCCCACCCACCCACACACACCCCACACACCCCCACCCACCCACACACCCCACACACCCCCACCACCCACACACACCCACACACACCCACACCACCCACACAACCCCCACACCCACACACCACCCACACACCCACCCACCCACACACCCACCCACCCACCCACCACACCCCCACCCACCCCCACACACACCCACACACACCCCACACACACCCACCACACCCACACACACCCACACACACACCCACACACACCCCACACACACACCCACACACACACACCCCACACACCCACACCCACACACACCCACCCACACACCCACCCACCCACACACCCACCCACACACCCACACACCCACCCACACACCCACCCACACACCCACCCACACACCCACCCACACACCCACCCACACACCCACCCACACACTCACCCACACCCCCCCACACCCCCCCACACCCCCCCACAAACACACACACGCAACACACAACACACACACAATACACACACAACACAACACACACACACACACACACACACACACACACACACACACACACACACAATATTGCCAGACTCACACATACACTCCCCCCCCCTCCCCCAACGACATCTCACTCTTCACCTGATCCTCCCCTCCCCCTTTCACCCTACCCCTCCCACCTCTCCCTCTCCCACTTACCCACTTGATTCACTCTCCTTCCCACTCCCCCTCCCCACTACTCTCCCATATAGCCACAGTTCCTCCTCTACCTCCCCCCCACACTCTGACATATACAATACTAACCTAACATACAGAATTACATAGGTTTCCCACTCTGAGGCAATCAGGATAAAAAAAAATGGGTTGCCAGAGAGCAACAAAAAAACCCCAAAGGGGACAGGAGGAGGGAACTGCAAAGGAATGATTGGGCAGCAGAGCTCACAAAAAGGGAACAAGAATGGGAAAAGAAACTAGAAGAACTTAGCATGAGAATGGAAGAGAGGATAGACATGGAAAGCAGGAAGTGGGAGGTGAAAGTCAAAGCAGCAGAGGCAGGATACAGAGCTTAGAAGAGGAACTGGAAAATCTGAAACAGACTAAAGAACTAAAGAACATTTTGGGATTGACAACAGAGACCGCTACCTCAGCCACAAATAAGGGACTGTAGGGACAGAAGGAGCAAAACTGCATGTAGAAGCTCTATCAGTGGAGACTGTAGTAAATGAAAGAGCTAAGCTATATGTGGAGGCCCTAAAAGACCACAACAGAGCCCAGGAAAGCCGAGAAAGGGAAAATGACAGGCCACTGAGCCATGTACAGTAGCTAGTGAAACTGAAGAAAGGAAAGCTGCAATGGAGGAAATCAAATTGAATGAGGGGATACACAGGATATGCAGTGGGAGAATGAAAGGGTGAGGTCAGTCTTTGTGTATGGGCTACAGGAAGTTGAAGGGGAAACATATGAAGCAAGAAAACAAGGGGAAAAAAAAGCAATTGAAAGCATCATGAAGTAATCGGAGAAGAAGACGACATGACCCAGCTGGAGAAATTTTCGGAGAATAGGGGGGTTTGTAAAAAAAAGAACCCGGCCAGTGAAAGTGACCTTCAAGGCAGAATCGACTCGGAACAGGATACTGTGGGAGAAAGCACGATTAAGGGACATGCCGGAATACAGGAAGGTGTATCTCGACCGCGACAGAACACAAGACGAAAGGCGGAAACTGAGAGAGATGATACAAAGGCGAAGGAGGAAAGAGAGGGGATGGAGAAGACAGACAGGAGATCCAGACACAGGAAGAAGATCAAATACAACCTCCCTCACAGCTTCCTATAGAAGCCTCCCAACCAGGTCAACCCAGTGCAGCCAAACACTCTAAACCAAAACACCCATGTCATATCCAATGCCCCCACCAACATACATTACAAACTCCACCCCCACAGCAACCACCCATAGTTCCTTATCAGGTCTCCCACTTCCCCAACCCCAATACACCTCCCAGACCACAGTCTTAGAAAAGAGTTGAAGGTATGGTATACAAATGCAGATGGAATAACAAATAAGTATGAGGAGTGGCATGAAGAATCAAGGAGACATCCCCAGACATAATAGCACTCACAGAAAACAAAACTCACCAGAATAATAACAGATTCAATCTTTCCACCCGGATATCAAATCCTCAGGAAAGACAGAGGGAGGAGAGGGGGAGGAGGAGT